AATTTATTTTTGGTGACCACATTAAGGTTAAACCTTTAACCTAAAACTGAATTAAACACTAAACATAAAAGAGTAGCAAACATGTAGTACTTTATTGTTGTTTCTTCATCTCATAAAGCAGGAGTATGGTGCATGTGGTAAGAATCTCTCATCCAGGACACTATAGTTTGTTGTATGGCGTGGTAGCACATAAGTTAGATAAACTGCATTCTGCCTCCATGTCCTAAATTCCTGGGAGAGAACAGCCAAAATGATTAACAACCAGCAATTTCAAAGTCGGTCTGTACAGAAGGAAAAATGACAGGCCATTCTGTAATTCATCAAGGGTCACTCTGGTTTCTGAAAGACAAATTTGTCCTTAAACTAGATTCACACCTTCTCTCAACTCTCAATGATCAAGTCATTTGTTTCGCAAACTCTCCATTCATTTGTAGACTTCAGTCTTCCATGCTCCCCCTGTAATTTAATGCCCATATTTCAACTCTTGGCTCTCTCATCATCTTCTGAACCCCTTCTACCCCTATTCCAGCCCTGTGCCTCACAGTCCCTCAACTGCTCTCTCACTCCTTTCATAAACATCTGAACAAAGCTCCACTGCAAAAACATCGATTATCTTTTTTTTTTACCTTTTTATCATGGAATTAACCTCTACTTTTTCCACCACGGCAGTGAGCTGTTTTGGCTTTTAAAATATTCTGATTTCATCATTTTAAATGATACTTCAATGGACAATCTATGACAGCAATTCTCTTGCAAAGCCCTAATACATTTTAAGAGGCAAAGACTCTGGCAATAACCTGCCACCTCTCAGCTCAGTATTTACTAGCATTTTAGAAAATTAACTTGTTTTTAGGTTTTTATTCCTTCGCGTGAAATATACAAAGAGTTCATATATCACGGATGTGTATTTTTTTTAAATCAGACTCTTCATTGTAAGAAGTACCACCGAGTGAAAATTAATGTTTAATTTTTCATCGATGTACAGTAGCAATGAGCATATAAATATTAAAATATTCCAAACTCATAAACATGCACTCCAAAAAGTGACAATATAATACTGGGGGGGGGAAGCAAATGTGAAGATAAAGAAAAATAATTTAAAAGCTTTCAGTCACAGCAGGCAGAAAGGTTACTTGTTACAAGAGCTTACAGTACCATGACATTTCAGAGCAATTTCTGCTTTTTGAAGAAGCATTTCCTTGTACTGCACTTTGGCGTGCATTCACGTTGATTAAAACCTGGACTTGTTCCAGTTTCTGGTTTGTCACAGATGAGCCATATTTAATTCCCTTTCTTCTGGGACCCTTTCTTCATATGAGAGAAAGTAGTTCTGGCTCATGAACATCTCTATCTGACAGTATGAAGCATTGTTAAATCCTTTTTTTTTCCTTGAGGACCAATGCTAGGACACTATTCACAGCAGGTCTATAAGCCTTTCCATTATTTATCTTTATTTTCACATCCTACTAATTAATTTGACAACACTGTATACCACTTGTGGAAAATGAACTCGGTACTGTATATGCACTGAACTGTTTAATGTTCTTTTATTCTTTGTCACTTTCTTAAGATTTTCACACAGTATTTGTTGTACAGCAACTAAGCATGCATTAAACTGAATGTGCTCTTTTACCTGACCATCTTAGCTATTACTTGTCTTTCTACAGGCCCCAATAATAATTTGTGGATTTAGGCCAATGGCATTGGAGATATTTAATATTTCAGCAATAAAGCACATAGTGACTTTGTATTCTGCCATTTAAGCAAGAGCTGGTTAACAAGATGTTGGTAAAAGAAACTGCAAGTCAGCCATTGGCCAATTGACTTGCCTGCATCACAATCGGATGTTGCCTCCAAAGAAGCCTCACCTAAACATTAAAACATTTCATTTCAACCTGAGTCCAAGCCAAACCAAAAGGATTATTACACTTACTGCAGAGGAGGTACCTTTGTACTTGGATCCTAAAGTAATTATTTCCTGGTTTCATCTTTCACTGCTTCATTCTAATTTACAAAGATTCATCTTTCTCTGCTTCATACTCATTTTCTTAATGAATGCATTTTCTCCTACAAATTGTCCTGTATAAAAAATGCAAAGGTTTTTGAGGAAGAAAACTAGCTGTATTTTTCTTTTTAACCATACCATCTGTAGAGTTAATTTAATTTTAATAACAGACAAGAGAAACACATAACAATTTCCGTTATACTGCTAGTCAAACCTGAAAGTTTACTAAAATATTTGGCAGTAGTGTTACCTCATGCTTCAAAACACTGAGAATGCACAGAGCACTGGTAACATTGTTTTTTACATTCTAGATTAAGCTAGAAGGAAATACTAAAAAGAAATCAGTTGTGTGGTAAATAATGGTAATACACACCCTTCCATATGTAGTCTCTGAATATGAAAGTCTGTCCATTTACATGCAATGCAATGTAAGTTGTGCAATGTAAACAGTGGTTTGCCTCACCTGTCATTAGAAGTTTGTTCTGCTATCACTACAATCAGAAAGAAAAATGCTTTCACTTTAAGACTGAAAACAGTTTTCATTACTATTCATAACATCATACAGTGTTCGATTGCTTTTGTCCATTCCAGTGCTTATTTTCTTTCCAAGACTGGTGTTTTCAGATCTATTTACTGCAAGTGATGCATCCATTATTAGCCTACTGAACAGAACAGTGCTTTCTCAGTACTTACACATCATAATGAACACTACAGTTTATTAGAGAAAAAACCTGAGGGCAAATATTAATTAGCTTTCTGGTTAAAACACAATCTGCAGATTCATGCAGATCTGGTTCCATTGACAGTCCACTATCACTTTTCCTTTAGGTTGTTTGATAATTGACACAGATATGATTTGTACTGCATAATAAATTACAAAAAAACAATATAATGCATTTTATGTAATACTTTATCTAACATTATGCAAGAACAAAAACACCCACTAAATTATATATTGTAGAGGGACAATGTTGGTAGTGACCACCGATTATTGAGTGAATTGTCATTAACTGTATCTTCAAATCTAGAATATTTGCAAGATCCTGCTAATAAGAAGCTTATTTTCATCATTATTTGCAAGACTAAGGGCACATTCCTAGATCTTTGTATGGTTGAAAGAAATTAAACGTCTGCAATCCAACAAAACACAAGAAAGCAAAATACATAGTGAAAAGCTTAAGAATTGAGACAGTGAAGTAGGGCTGGGCGATATGTCCAAAAACATTAACACGATAAAAATTTTCATATCAGTCGATATCGATAACTATCACAATAAATGTCAAATCATTATTTCTTTCAAGTTTAAAGGCAGATTTTTTCTCCTGAGTGAAAGCTGAAGAAACCAGACAGTTAATTGGTAAATTAAACAACTCTTTATTTTAAGAACACAACAAACACTTGCCAAACAGCAGAAACATTAAACAAATCTGAGCTAGAGAGTATTTAAGTCTTTTTTATGTCAAAATATGCATGAGTAAAATGTACAAAATAAATATCTTAACAGAAAAATTAAATACTGCAGTGTGATAAAACATACATAGAAGATGGCTCAGACAGACTGCAAAGTTTAAAGTGCTGTGTTTTATGTCTGATCGTAAAAAGCCAAAATATCTCCAAATTACCTATTATATCTACATTTGCTTCAGTGTTGCTCATTTCTCCACTCTAACTACAATCCTGTCAGCCACCGCCATGTGGGTAAACACCACCACGTTAGCTGTCCGGTCTGCAACATGCAGCGCACTCGCGCAGTATTTTGTGCGCATGCACATATCATGCGCAAAGCATAAACATATATATCGAACATTTATCGAACTTTTGTTAAAATTATATAGAGGAAAATTATATTGCGATAATTATCGTTCCTCTATATAATTTTATCGTTGTCGAATTATCGCCCAGCCCTAGTTCTAGAACTGCTGTGGCTCATCTTTGCACTTCTGTGAAAATTCTAATCTGGCCTTTCTGTTTTTAATGCTGATGAGAGGTCTGAATCCTGTAGTGTAGCCCTTGTAATTCTCCTGTCAAAGTCTTCAGTGCTCACTGACTAGTTTTACGTTCACTTCACTTCTTTCATTTTGAAGATACCCCATACTGTTGATTTTGCAATGCACAATCTCTCTGCATTGGTTCTTACTGGAATTTTCTTTCACAATTGCTTGTCTTTCCATCATATCTGATCTTCATCTTGACCCAAACAGTAAACTCCAAAGGTTGGAACCAAGGCTATACATTCACAGATCTTTTATGTTTTCATACTTAATGTAACTTGGAAGACCTGAGTAATCAGAAAACACCTGTCAGCCATTTGTCCCAGTGTGTTTGCTCACCTGGAATGGGCAGATGGAAAACACAACAAAGGACATTGTTCAAACATGACTAAACATTTGATCTGACATACAAATATCATTAGTACACAGCAAAAATGACTAATTTCCCTTCACTGTCTCAGTACTTGGGGTTTTCACTGTAAACAATGGTGGTAAAAACCTGTTCTCCCTGTGTAACAAGATCAATTTTGAATCAAGTACAATAAAGAGCTAGTAAAACCTGAACTGAGAAACCAAGTAAAATACTTGTACTGTAAATGCAAGACACACTATTGGACAGGTTTGAGCTGTAGACCAACTGCAGAATACTGTACAACTATCATCTAGGAGAACCTGTAATGTATGTAAGATAGTAACAGAGCAGTCCTGTTGTATGACTCTTCTCAAGAAAACCCACAAAAGTAAGGGAACGGCCTTGAATTTCAAAGCAGGTCTAAAATGAAAATATGAAAGTGAAATACGATATTTAAATAATTAAAGGTTAACCGCCTGTAAAGTAAAACACGATGGCAGCTGTCCAAGATATACAGTATGTCTGCTTTACATTATGAAGGGCTGCAAACTTTTGAAGGGAAGTTCAAGACAATAACAACTGAAATGACTTGATGTAGCTTCACATTTTAGCAAACAATATAAGACAACAACAGAATTTCCAAAGAGCAAAGGAATCTAAGCTCTGATCTGGCAAGCGAAATGACCTAACCTGGAACTCCCTGGAACAGTATAGGTGTTTCTGACATTAGTCAGGAGACAAATCAGATACTTCAGTGCAGAATGCTGGAGAAGTCCACATGATATCTCCTGACAAGTCTTCGTAAATGGATGTTTACATTAACGTTTGCAAGAATGTCAAACCCTGTTAACAACCACTTCCTCTCTGCTGCCTATTAATATCTTGCCTCTAAAGCACCCGCTCATATATTTTCTCTTAGACCCCCTCACCCCATCAGTCTTTCAGCAGCTCCCTGACTCATTCCTCACAAAATGAGGAGTTGTTCCATCAACCTTACCTTTATAGTCAGGCTGCTGATCCATTTGCCATGTGAATTAAGAAAGTCAAAGGTGGACATACTCGACCAGGTGCCTCCAACTTTGCAGCTGAAACTAAAGGCTAGTTTTTCCTCAAAACTCCACAGCTAAGTGCTTTGAGAAATTGGAAATGTTGTCCAATATGGACAATAATGAGCTGATTAGGTCCTTAACAACTGAGCTGGAATTAAAACATGCAAACACACAAGCTATTCAGAATAGGAAATGTTACCCATGCATTCTGACTTTTACAATGAAATTGTATTCATTGTAAAATGAGGTTGACATATATAAAATGTATGATATTCCAAAATAATTTTATAAATGTAATATATCAGTTCAGCTTTTAACCTTTATTATTATGCCTGTTCCTTATATACAGTTGCAAGAAAATGTTTGTGAACCTTTGGAATTACCTGGTTTTCTGCATTAATTACTCATAAAAATGCGGTCTGATCTTCAACTAAGTCACAATAATAGACAAACTCAATCTGCTTAAACTAATAACACACAATTGTACTTCTTGTCAGTATTGAACACACCGTTTAAACATTCACAGTCTATGTTGGAAAAAGTATGTGAACCTCTAGGCTAATGACTTCTCCAAAAGCTAATTAGAGTCAGGTGTTCCAATCAATGTGATGAGGTTGAAGGTGTGGGTTGGAGGTGCCCTCCCCTATAAAAAAGGCGCACAAAGGTTGGTTACTGACAGAGTCTGCTTTTCTCAAGAAAGAGCTGTTCACGTGAACTATGCCCTGATCAAAAGAAATATCAGAGGACCTTAGAAGATGAATTGTACAGATGCATAAAGCTGGAAAAGGCTACAAAAGCATTTCTAAAGGCCTGGGTGTTCATCAATCCACAGTAAGACAAATTGCCTACAAATGGAAGAAATTCAGTACTGTTGCTTAAGAGAAGTTGGGTGATAAAATAAGACAATGACCCGAAACGCATAAGTAAATCAACAACAGAATGGCTTAAACGGAAGAAAATTTGTGTTCTGGAATGGATAAGTCAGAGTCCAGACCACAACCCAATTGAGATGCTGTGGCATGACCTGAAGAGAGCTGTTCACGCAAGGAATCCCAGAAATATCAATGAACTGAAACAGTTTTGTAAGGAAGAATGGTCTAAAATTCCTTCTAACTGTTGTGCACGTCTCATCAGCACCTACAGGAAACGTTTGGTGCACGTATATGCTGCTAAAGGAGGTTTTACCAGTTACTAAATACAAGGGTTCACATACTTTTTCCAGCCTGGACTGTGAATGTTTAAACGATGTGTTCAATGTTGACAAGAAAAAGTATAATTGTTTGTGTGTTATTAATTTAAGCAGATTGTGTTTATCTATTATTGTGACTTAGTTGAAGATTAGACCACATTTTTGTGAGTAATGCAGAAATCCAGTTAATTCCAAAGGGTTCACTAACTTTTTCTTGCAACTGTATATCATTTTATTGTTTCCAACAAAATGAACATTTACCAAGATTACAGCCTCTAATTTCCAACAAGAAAAATGTATGAACACCTTAAAGACAAAATAATTAATTAATAAAAAGAGTAAAATAGGGATGCCACAAATGAGATCTAAACAGAAAAAAGGTGCTTCTGCTTTGTGTCCCACCTACTATTCCTGGTGTAAGTAACTAATTTAATGTACTAATTTAACTGGCAACTGATGTAATCATCAGAAGCTAAAGAGAACTCTGAAACCTGCAGGGTCTAGTTCTACCACAACCAGATGATGTGCAACTTTGGGCCCAAAATATACCAGGATATTTTCCCATCAAGTGAAGTGAAGAGAAAACAAATCAGCTGATGACTTACTTTGAAATTCTGTCCATGTTGGCAATTTGTTTCTGATTCCGGATGACTTCAATGGCCGCCCAGATGTACTGGACCACTTTGGGGTCTGCCTGCCTTTTCTTTACTACACGTGACATGATGTCTTTACTTATTTTACCTGGAGCCAAAGAAACAAGGGAGAGAAAAAATAGTTCAAGAATCGTTATTCTCTTTGTGAAAACACCTTTTCCCATCCTATTTACTGCAAGATGACCCCCAGAAATTGTGTTCAGGGCCTGACAGAAGACATTCGTTTTCTGCATGCTGTGTCTACAATTTCCCACTGAAAAGCACCAGCATGGGTAATGGGAAAAGCCTTTTCATATGTCTTGACACTAGCTTCACCTTTGCCATTTGTTCTCCACCTGAATCTATTCAGCTGACTTTTGTCATCTGGTTTAACTCTGGATCAAAGAAGAGTTTTGTCTGCTATTCATATAAGTCTTTAGCTTGTTACTGCACTTAATATTAGTCTTTATAATCCACTCTGAACAGCTTCATCGAAACAAAGGAAACATAAAACTCTTAAATGTAAGAAAGATTTTGAGGATTCATTTCTTCATAAAGTGCACTCCCTTTAATCTTCCTTAAGGTGCAAAATAAAAATGTTTAAAAAATACACAATCTACAGAAACATATTAAACATGAAAACATAACATACTGTATTAAAATAAACATTCACAAATGAATTAAAAATAAGAGTATTACACGATACATAATTAATGTACACATACAGTATGCATTTAGAATGGATTTGACATTGCAGTGGAAAATGCAATGAGTCCAAATTTTTATTGAATAATACTTTTTTGGGGGGTGCTACGGTGGCACAGTGTTTAGTATTGCTGCCTTGCAGCACTGTGGCCCTGGGTTCCATTCCTGGGGTGCGATCTGCGTGGATTTCTACGATATCACCATGTTTGTGTGGGTTTCCTCTCGGTTACTTCGGTTTCCTTCCACAGTCCAAAGAAATACAGGTACAATAGGTTAATTTGCTTCAGTGAAAACTGGCCCTGGTGTGACTGTGTGGGTATTTGTGTTTGTGTATGCCCTGTCATGGACTGGCACCCACTGCTTGCCAGAAAAGGTTACCAGCTCCCCTGCGAACTAAAGTGGTTAGACAATGGAGGGATGTCTGCTTTGGAGAATTCGTTTCTGGGGTCAAGTTCTCTTCTGCATCATATACAGTAACTCACAGAGGGCAACGATTCATCAGTCAAATCGGTCTCAGAGTGTACTAATACCAAAGCCAACATCCACATTTAAACAATGTGTACTTCACTGAAACTTTACATTGCACAATCTTTCATCCTGCTTACAGAAATCATATATCACCATAGCCTTTTAAGAATGAAAATTACTAGGACAAGCGAGCAAGTATGCTGTTAAATACTGTATTATGCCAAATATAAATGACAGGGTACAAAGAAAATCTGAATTATTGTAGATTTACATGTATTATGATACTATTTCTACACAAACTGCCCAGTCCCAGCCTCACCCATCTGTCTAGTTGTTTTTTATGTGAACTACATGTTCATAAGGATAATTGTCAATCCTGATAGAGCAAAAATCCCTACAACACTAAATGCCTGATGACATCTTGCTAGATAGTATGGAGATATTTGTGGGGAATAAGATTTCCTCAATTCTTCACTGACCGAAACATATCAAAGCCTGAACATTCAGTCTTACAGTAGCAAAAGAACTAAAAGAGCTTAACATGATCTGTAATATACCCAGTAAATCAGTGGTAGATTTTCAGCTGGATTTTCTGTAGAGACCAGTTGAAGTTCTTGCAGCAATGGTAATCTGTGATAATTATAGTACATAATCTTGCAGTTAGGTTCATGATTAATCAAATGGTAAAAAATGATGAAATTACGCAATGAATGAGCTGTGATCCTACAGAGGGAAAGAACAACAGTTGATGAAAAAAATAAAACATTCCCTCTTATTTGAAAGGTTAACACTTTTTCTACAATTGTTTTTTGGATGACAGATAAAACCAAGGTCCTGACTCTCTGTGCTCATTAAAAATCCCAGGGCGTTTCCCAAAAAGAGTAGGGGTGTAATTCTGGCCAAATTTCCCCCTGGCCTTTACCAATCATGGCCTCCTAGTAATCCTCATCTATGAATTGGCCTCATCACTCTGTTCGCCTCTTCAATGATAACTGGTATGTGATGAGCGTTCTGGTGCACTATGGCTGCCGTCGCGTCATCCAGGTGGATGCTGCACATTGGTAGTGGTGGAGGAGTCCCCTTTACCTGTAAAGAGCTTGGGGTGCAGTGTCCAAAAAAGCACTATAAAAGCATGAGCAATTATTATTTATAATTATTATTATTCAAACAGATGTGGTGTTTAAATCTGCCCCTTAATCAGGTCTCAAAGTGATCCTAATAGTTCATAGCAGACTCTCCCATTCTTTAATTGGCACAGCTTAAACAAAACAACAAAAAAACAGGAAAACACTTTTGTGGGAAAAAGTTACACTTTCAGCATTCATACAACTGATTTGCTCATTACAGAGTAACACTGATACAAAGTAATACTACTACTAATACACTTTATTTTATACAGAGGCTTTAAAAGTGTCTTTACAGGAAAAGTAAAAAGCAGTAGAAATCAGAATCTCGGATTCCCAAAGCTCAGTATCTCACTGATTGCAGAAAAAGAGCAATAAATGAGTACGGCTACAGTTAGCAATGAATGTAAAGATTAGTGATAGCAAAAGAAGAAGAAAATAAATACAGGTAAACAAAACAAGAAAGTTGAAACTGGTGAGAGAAGCAAAAGCAAACGCACCAGTGTTCCCTCTGTCACTTAAAAATGTCACATACTGAACAAAGAAAGAATCAACAGTTAGAAAAATCAAGAAGTCACAGATGTTCAATAAGTGTAAACATGTAGCCTAATGCCTTCTGCAAAAGTGGGTCTTGCTCTCTAAGCTGTGGCTGCTGAAGAATGATATTGACTTTGCTCACTTTATTATTTCCTCTTTCCTTACTGACTAACTGACGACTTCAAACACCTAGTCGGTGTTTGTCTGGAGAGTAAAATTAGCATTATCACAACCTGAAGAGAAGATAATACTTTTAGGAGGCACATTGACTGTTTACCACACATACAGTGTGCATATGAAATCAAATATTCTGTCTGGCCCCAATTACAAAATGTAATTAGCGCAAATGTGGCACCTGCTCATAGGGATTCCCAAAGCTGTGTCCCATTGTTTTCCTATTGTTCTCATCATTGCTGTGGGATGTTCACAGATTTCAATATCAATTGGTGAAAAAGAGTCTCTTATCAGAGAATCTATTTCTTTAAAGCATAAGATACTGTAATCATAGATGAATATGACAGTGTTTGTTGTCTATGAAGATAATCGCACAGCTGGGGGTCAGTAATTTATAAAAATACTTATATGTTTAAATTGTGTCCAAATAATTGGTTTTGGTTATGCTGAACTGCTTAATTCAGCTCTGGCAGTTAATATTTTTAGTAAATTTGATATCTGCCCGTGTAGTTTACAACAAGTTTAACTGGACGACAGCAAGCAAACAATATGTTCAAAAACAAAACAACAGATTCATACAACATGGTTGTGGCGCGGCCTTTTGTCCGTGTCTGGTATATTTTTTTAAAATCAATTTTACATTGCTGAAAGGCTAAAGCTTTGTCTACTGTTGATAAGAGACAGTGGATGGGACTTTTTTACCTATTGGATAAATTATAATTAAATTAATGGATCAGGAATGGCACCGAACAGCTGAAATAGAGATGTTACTCCATCAATTTTACTAAGCAACGTCAGTTTTAAATGTAGACTTACAATTTGTATACTAATATAAAATGTATTTGCATTGATTTTTGCTTCAAATTTCACTCTTCTGTGGAGTGCCTATAATGGGAAATATGGAACACATAAAAACAGACCTGAAATCTCATTTGTTCTTTTTCAAAATCTACAATATAACAATGTAAAAATAAAATGTGGCCTTTGGAAACACTATGAACCTTTTTAAATTGTCAAAACCATTTCTGGAACACTCATTCAAGGACAATGTTGGAAAGTGAGGTACTGTATTTCTGCCAAAAATATGAAATGTGCTTTTCCCATGAATCTGGTTGTGATCTGCTGTATGTTAAACAAAAGAAAACCTCTTGCTGCAATGGCTGCTAGTCTTGAAAGTCACTGAAATGAAACAGATAAATAATGCTGCCTACAAAACATCGCCATGCTCAAGGTCAACCAGCATCAGTCGTGAGCATGTGAGTGACAATAACAATCAGTAAACAGGGTCGGCCTATGAGGAATCAAGTGTCCTAGCCTCTTAACACAGTAGTGACATTTTTTTCTCAGGTTTGAGGATATCTATTCAAAAACCCATGGATTCTTTTCAAGGATAAAAGCAACACTTTAATCAAAGGAACAAGTAAACGTTAACTTCATGCGTGCTTTTCTTCAGAGAAGAAAAGAAACACACTGTTTGGGCCGTGAAGCCTTCTTCAGGTTTGTGCAGCCTACGCATGCTAATGCAGCTACCTATTTGAACATTTTAATCAGTAAACACATGAGCGTAAATGTAAAAAATATGACTTTTCAAAACATTAAAACAATACACCTAATACATCGTCTTTGTTTTCTGAAAGTACATCTTTGTATGATATGTCAGAGGGGGTTACTCCACAACAAAGAGTAAAGTTGTTTATTTTTAGGACAGAATTGGTCACTGTAAAGTCGTATTTTAAGGACCAGCATACACGGAGCAGTGAGCTGGAATACACACTATACAATGGCTGCTCTCTCAAAACTCCCCAATAACTGTGGGAAGAGCTCCCTTTCTAAAGGAGACCCTATTGTCTATTTAATCCATGTTGATTAGTTTTCAGGTGGAGGTCTCAATGGAGCTGAGAGTTAATTTGCTGTAAGAGATGGACTTGGATTCATATGTGTCAATTCTATAGGGTATATACAGTAAAATAGTGGTCACGTCCTGTTAATGATGTTGAACCACCATGAAAACAGATTTATGATGTGGTATTTGTCATTTTTTCATATCTGACAGATACAACAAAAACAATTTGATTAACCTGGGTTTCAAGTATCTTGTAGT